ACCAGTTATCATAAAGTCAGTTCAATTAATTTTAAAGACACCGCTCTAATTTTAGTACTCACTTTTTCATGAATGTTAATATTCGAATTCGAACCATCGAGCTTTTATTCTTTTATCATATTTTTCTTAATTTTATTATTGAAGTGATGTGCTACACTATCAATCCGATCCATCAGAATACTTAATCCTACAATTTTATTTTTATTTTATATTATTATTTTAAAATTTTATCAGTAAAATTTAATCAATAATTATTTTTTAAAAATCAAATTTAAGTATTACCTAAACAATTTAACTTTGAATTCAATACATTAATCCTATATTTAGTTAAAAATAGTTATAACTAATATAAATATATTTTTATATAATTTATTTTTTTCGTTATATTTTTTATTGATCTAAATATACTGACATAAATATTTATTTATTTAATTGATCCAAATACTAGTAATATATTTTTGTACAGTATATATATATTTTATTCTTAATCTAAATTAGAAGAAAGATTATTATGTTGTTGTGTTGGGCTTGAGGTGGTGTTGGTTAATGGGGTAACAAAAGGCAGTGCAGCTATTCTTTTTCAGTTTTCAAATTTGATTGATTGATTGCTCATTTCCGCCACATCACTTTTGGGCCACGCCACCGTTAAGTCAAGTCACTCACTCCATCTTCTAAATGGGTTGGGTTTACACACTTTCCAATTACTTTTTAGGCCTACTAACTTCTTAAATTACATTTCTTAAATTAAATTGAGTTGAGGACAATGATATATTAATTTTTTTATTATTAAAATTAAAGAAAATGCATTTTCCTTGTTTCTATATTTAAATATAAAATATAATATAAAAAAGTTAAACACAGTTTCCCAGTTATTCACAGCTACTTTATTCTAAACTTTTGTGATGTTCTAATTTTTAATTTTATTCTTTAATCGACAAATGCAATTAAAAAATAATTTTTTAAAGAAAATATGTACATGAAAAAAAAGTGTAGCACCATCTTCTTTTTTAATTGTATTTTTGTGATATGTTTTTGTTATTAATAATTATATTTAATGTTATTTGGTTTTTTTTTAGTTTTTATAGAGTGAAAGTTAGAATTGAAATAACTTTAAACTAAAGTTATATAAGACATAACTTAAGTGTGTGAGATTTGGTCGAGGAAGGTTGAGATATATAAAATTGATTTTGATAAATAAATTTCATAAGTTTATGACTCTAGAATCTTAGAGAGAAATTAGAGAAAAGTGTTCTAGAGTCAATGATGTTCGGTCTTCAATCCAATCCACCAAAAGATCTCTTTTCTTTTCTTGATCATTATTTGGTGTGATAGAAGATTAGATTCAAGTTAAGGAGTTGAGAATTTTAGAGAAAAGTCATCATACAAGAGTTTGAGATTCTTGAGTTTTTTTCTCTTCTTCCTTGTTTTCTAGAACAATTGAGGTAATGGAAACTTGTTGTTTGATTTTTTAAAGTTGTTGTGTGTTGTATTTGCTATTAATTAATTTGTCCATTGGTGGCTTAATTTGTTGTTTTTGAGGTAATTGTTAAAGATGGTGAAGCTGGGGTTTTAGGGTTGATGAATCAAAATCCAATATTTCATTATTTATTGATGTAATTAGGTTTCATGTTGAGTTTAAGGTTGGATTTATGTAATCTAAGTTGTTTAGTTGAGTTGATGAGGTAAGAGTTTTCAAAAATGGTATTTTTGCATGTAGGATCAACACAATTTCCTTGGGCCAAAATATTATGGTTGGGTGAAATTGGGATCGAGACTAATCTTAAATTAATTTGGCTAGGCCAGACAAAATTTTTACAAAAGCATTTTAAAGACAAATTGGTTGGGCCAAAATAAGTTAGTTGGACGATTTTGGGACATGCAAGATATTTATGCTTTTACCTATCATATTGTTGTTCCAAGTTGAATAATTATGGAATGATATTGTATTATGTTATTTATGATTGATGAATCATGTTGTAAGATGTTGAAATGAAGTATGTTGAGTTGTTTAAGTTGAATTAGATAATATTCTAATTATTGTATAAATTTTGTTGATTTATTTCATGGTGCTTAAGTTGTGAATATAAGTTTCTCATGATGTTGGGAAATACTTGTAAGTTGATGATAATTTAATCTAATTCATAACATGTTGTTATATGTTGATATATGATGTTGGTTTAAGTTGTTAAAGTTGAAAGTTGTTTATAACCTTAAGTTGCTTAAGTTAAAAGTTGCTTACTTCAACAGTTGTATGATGATGAGCTGTTAGGCATATGGTGAAAATATATATCTTAGATAAGATATATAAAAATTAGAGGAGAGTAAAATTACTTTAAAAATTAAAATATTCTATTATGTGGATATAAGTTGTGGTGCTTGGAGAGTCCAAGTTGAGAACCCTTCAATAAATAAGTTGGCTTGTGAATGAGTAATTATTTTTAAGTTGTTTTTTCTAGGTTTTATGTGAAATCTGTATGAGGGTTAGGTTGAGTCATACGTGTATAAAGTGACTAATTAAGTAAAGTATGAAGACGAGAGATAAAATTCGTAATTAATTGCTAAAAATTTGTGTAATATTTAAAGGATAGTTGGTAGACTAATCCCATATGAGACTTAAATATGCATGTTTAGATTCATAATTGATATTTTTTCTTTGAATATAAAATAGGAGAATAGATATCTTTAAAAAAGTGGACACCAAATAAACATATTCCCTTTATATAATGTTATAAATTATAGATAAAAACAATTTTTTTTACATGTTCATATAAAATTACTACTAAGTATGACAACGTTTTTAATTTGAGCATTGATACTTATAGATCAATTTAAGATTATTCATCTTTATATAAGTACAATATATTATTTGTTTGAGAGTGTTCTTAAAAATTATTTTAAAGAAATTTATTTTAGAAATTCTCGCATGTTTAATAAATTAGGTTTTCTAACTAGGAATAACAAAAAAAAAAAAAAAATCTACACCTTCGAATATTTGTAAATAAAATTTGTCACAAATAATAGATTCATAGTTTAAATTATCATATGTATATCTTACATTTTTTTTTTTATTTTTAATATTTTTTAACAATATTAAAATTAAATAAAAATTTAAAAATGTTAATTATTTATTTTAAATATTTTAATAAAATTAACATAAATAAAATCTTAAATATATTTATAACACTTTTTTCTAATTTTAAAAAAATTCACAAATATATATAAATATTTGTAAGTATTTAAAAAATTTATAGATATCTGTTTAATATTTACATAGGTATATAATAACGTGGCTAAATATCCCATAAGGTTCCATTACTATCCTTAGGTCTAACACAAGAAGCTAATACATATTAGAAAAACAGTTGATAAAATAAAATGTCATATATTTTTAAATTTCGTTGATTTTAATTTTAATATTTCATTTTTCTATCAAACATTTTAAAAAATTATATTATTTTTTAGTTTTTTAATTTTTAATTTTTAACTTTTAATTTTAAATCAAACATATCTTAAAGTTCGTATTGAATCGCAAATATTACAACATTGTATGTGCTTCAAATGGATAAACCAATTTTTTTTCTTTACTAGTAAGCTGATTCTAGTAGTACACCATACACGTCTCGAGCCTTAATTGACAAAAGTGATTTTACTCTATTTTATTAGTAGGATATAATAAAATTTAAAATAACTTATCTACAAATTATTCAACTAATCTAAACTTCTTAATAAAAGTAATTTTACTTTAAGATATATGTTTGCTAACATAAAAAATAAGTTTATAATAACTTAATACCTTTTAAACTTTATTATAAACTTTTATTCTAAAGTTATTTTTAATTAAAATTAATTTTTCAAATAAATTATTTAAAATCGAATTTTGAAGCACTTCAAATTCTCTCCGGTCACCTCACATGTGTAAATTAGAGAACATTCTTTTGACAAATGAAAAATGTTAAATTTCTTGATTTTAGGTATATCAGTTAGATTCTCTCAAAATAAAAATAAAAAAGTAAACCATTTAGATCACCTTTTCTTAATTATTTAGGGATTTAAAGATATTTTTTTAAAAAAAATAAAAAACTTTGTCTTTAATATTTATTATCAAATATAACTAGTATGAGTACATATAAAATAAATATTTTTATTTTAATACATTATTTTATATTTAAAGTCAAGATTCAAACTTTAAATAACTTAATTAATAAATATAATTTATTATTATTTGTGTCAACTAGTGTTAATCAACTTTTAAGAGTTTGAATACAAGTAATATTAAAAAAAATTAGTAATAATTTGTTAAAATTTATTAAATGAGTCAAAATAATAAAATCATTAATTTATTTTAGCACCAATAATATTTTTTTAAAATAATCATATTTACCGGTACGAATTATTTAGCAATTTTATCAATAATTAATTTTTGTAATTCATTCATTACTTTTAAACAAGTGTTCTTTCTAAATAACTTGAACCTTAAGATAATACTTAATGGATCCAAACCCAATTTTCCTCCGATCAAGAGACTTGCTAGTTGCTAGTATTTTTATTTATTTTTTGGGTAATAAGGACTTGTTGGTATACTTATATTAATATATTATCAGTAAAAATAACATTATTTGAAAATCCCGCTCAAATTTGAACTTGGACAGCACAATAATTTTCCTTTTCTCTTCCTTACTATATCACCTAAAAATATGGCAATAATTTAAATACTTATACTTAATGATTTTTGTTTGATAATAGAATTTTAATCATGAAATGTAGAAATATTATAAATGGGGTACCTAAGTCAAACAAAATTACATGTTAAGAAAAAGAAAAATTCTCCATCCTCAAGCATACCCAAGACCTGAATTTTATGAAATGAAAAACAACATATGTGTGGCTCTTCATTTCTTAAAATCATATTATTTCCATGCAACATGTTATTTGACAAAAAATTAATTTAAGCACCATGCATCCCAAAAAAACAAAAGCTATATGAAATGAAGCATGCGTACCTATTATGAGTCCAATCAGTGTTGATCTTTCAGCTTTTCTTGGATAAGCCTCAAGTATTTGAAAAGGTGGTTTTGGGAAGCAAATGAAAGTGGTAGCTAGGGACACATTAAGGGTGTTTGGGTGATGGTTAATGGTTGTGAAAAATATGGGAGTTGGGTCCTTTATATAGTGGCATGATTGAACAAGAATTGAACATGGAAAGTTAAACCATCTAAAGTATTAACTCTGGTTTCAAAAGGATTCTTGGGGCGGTGGAGTGTAGACATCGAAACGCTAAAAAGATGAGGATTCCATTTAATTAAGTTATCATGTGGCAATTGGGGAATCCAAATCAAAAAATGTGATGAATAGCAACTCACTTCTCTTCTGTTCCACGCACAACTTTTTTCACCATTTTCATTTCCATTTTTCTTTTTTAAGTTTTGGACCCTCATGCTGCTGTGTCTCAAAATATCTGTTTGAGTGATAAGCTTTTAAATTCATTTTATATGAGTGACATAAACTTTGACTAATGGGAGTTTATTCAGTTCGTACAGGATATGCGTGGTTATTGACAAGACCTACCCTGAGGAGAGATGGTAGTTGGGGATGGTTGTGGAAGCTCAAGCTCCCCGCGCAGCTAGTGTTTTTTTTATGTCAATTGTGTCATGATGCTTTGCTTATGCGTTGTTTTCTACATTATCGACATATGATTGAAGTTACCACTTGTCCTTGTGCCATCAGTACCCAGAGGATGTCCATCATATTTTCTAGGAATGTGATGTGATTTCTAGAGTTTGGCTTTTGACTGGTTTGGCGATTACTGGCCCTTCAAGGGACCCACACACTCGACTATCATGGCTGCATGCTGCCCTCTCCCAAGAGGGTTTGATAGTGCCTATTCTCTTGTGGGAGATGTGGAAAGCGAGGAACAACATTCTTTTTCACCGACAAGTTTTATACCCTCAAACAATTGTAGCTAAAGCCCAAGCACTCTTGACTACTTCAACTAGTGCGTTTGGTGGGAGTGACGACGTTGCACCTCGACTAGAACGTTGGGTTACTTGTATCCTAGCAACAGGGGATCAGATTTCTTTGCATACAGATGGAAGTTGCCAAGGTAATCAGAGAAGAGCTAGCTTCGGGGGTTTACTCCGTGATTCAAATGGGAGATGGCTTCGGGGGTATTTTGGTAATATTGGTGAGACCAATATCTTGCAGGCAAAGTTACTTGGTATATTACAGGAGCTGCAGATTGCATGGGACATGCATGTATCGAATGTAGTTTGCATTTCGGACTCCTTACATGCATTAAATCTTATCCAACATCCACCTCCAGTGTGACACATGTATGCTACCATTATTGCTCGAATACGGGACTTTGCTAGGGAGGATTGGCGGTTAGAGTTTAAGCATACTCTTCGGGAGGGCAATAGTTGTGCGGATTTTTTGGCTAAGCAAGGAGCAGCAGTAGATGAAAGCCTGGTCATTCTTGAAGCACCTTTAGCGGAACTTTCAATGCTTCTAGATGCTGATATTATGCAGGTGCCTCATAAGAGGTTGTAAGATACCCTTTTCTTTCTTTTTGTTGTTTTGATCGTTATTCACCAAAAAAAAGTCTCATCACAAAGCTACAATAATTCAATCTCATAATTATAAACGAAAGTAAAGAACTTAAAATACATAAATCTTATTGGTCGAGGGTATCACCTGTCCGTCGTCGTAGGTTAGCTCGCATATCTCAGATACATTTTTCTTCCTCTCTTGGCAAGTATTTGGGCTATCGGATGGTGCATGGTCGGGTTAAATCACAACATTTTCAGGACCTAGTGGAGAAGGTGCAACAGCGTCTTTCCTCTTGGAGAGGGAGACTTCTCAATAAAGCTGGGCGTTTAACTTTGGTTAATTCTGTTCTTACATCCATTCCCACGTATAATATGCATATTCAATGGCTGCCCAACCAAGTTTCTGAGAAGCTAGACATGCTAGCTAGACGTTTCCTTTGGAGTGGTCAAGACAAACGTGGTTTACATCTAGTTAAGTGGGAAACCATCACTCAGAGAAGGTAGGATGGTGGGCTTGGGGTCCGACCTACCAGGCTTCAAAATGTGGCACTTATTGGTAAATAAGTTTGGGACCTCATGTACAAGCCTGAGAAGCTTTGGGTAGTGGAAATACCCTGGTGCCAATATAACTGCCATGCTGCAACATTTTGGGTCGTTTTTCCTTTCATCGTTACGGAAAACATATGAAGCGCTCGAAGAGGGATTTCATCTTAGGCTGGGGCAAGGTGAGTGTAGTTTTTGGTTTAATCCTTGGATTGATGGATCACCTCTTGCCTCTCGCATGACATACATCGACCTCAACGATGTGGACTTGGAGGTGCGCCATGTGGTGCGCTCGGATGGGTGTTGTGATCTAGCACGTATCGCGTCACCCTTAACTGATGATCTTCGTGAATTACTCTCCCACTTGCGGCTCTACTTACACCATGATATCCCTGACGTGCTTGCATGGCAGGGGGATGAATCGGGAGTTTATTCAGTTCGTACAGGATATGCGTGGTTATTGACAAGACCTACCCTGAGGAGAGATGGTAGTTGGGGATGGTTGTGGAAGCTCAAGCTCCCCGCGCAGCTAGTGTTTTTTTTATGTCAATTGTGTCATGATGCTTTGCTTATGCGTTGTTTTCTATTAAATTATGAACCATAAGTATTTTTTATTAGAGGCTACAATCCAATTTGAGTGTCATAAGAATGTTATAAGTGACAAAATTCTTTATTTAAATATTTAATGCAGTTATACAACCAAAACTTCAACTCAGCACATTAAGCTAAATTAATTTTAAATTAAATTATCTATGTCGTGGATGATAATTAACTTGTTATTAGCCAAAAATGAAAATAATTTGTAATGAGTGAGAAATAAAATAAATGGCTACATAATAAAGTTTACATCCTACATAAAGGACTTAGGATCCAATTTACCTTTCTTTATACTTTATATTCTTTTATTTAAACTTATATATCTTAGAAATAATTTTTTTTAATGAGAAGGTTTTTAGATATTTTTATAACTTGTTACCCAATTCAATAACTATTTATTAAATTTATTTATAAAATAAATTTTAATATTTTTAAAATAAATTATTATTCAATAATCTCAAATAAATATCTATATATAAAAATAATATTGTAATATAAAATATCTATCATAAATCTAAAATATATTTTATATGTTTAAAAATATCTATTTAAATTTTAAATATGATTTATATATTCAAATATAGTATTTATGTATATATAATTTATTAATTTTTTAAATTATATATAATAAACATTTAGTGTAATTGACTCACCTCTACACTTAATGAAATCATCTACTAGTATATGACCTAGGTTCCGGTCAAGTAACTACAACAAAATATATAAAAGTAGCCAAGGCTACATTGCCAACAACATAGCTCACCAAAGCTCCAACTTGCCTCCATCTAACCTTGTCCTATTACCATGTAAATATAATCATCATAGTAAAACCATACCAGGAAGCATACAAGGTTAGGCTAGATTTTCAAAAGAATACACAAATAACAAGTATAGAAGTAACGACAACTATACTAATCACTAACACCAACATGCAAACCAATATAGAAGCACCTTATGGTTCACAACATATCAACAGAATGAAACACCTAGCATGATATTAACAAGTTTGAAAGACAAACAACTCAGACATATTAAGTTTATACCACAACAATGTCATTCAACAATATAATCACCAAGCATATGAACAATATCAAACCACTTCACATCATATGCATACACCTGAATTAATGTGTCATCATGCATTCACCTATGAAAATCTTCTACAATAGGGTGAGCAGTCTAAGTAGGTTGACCTACCAAACCAACATGACCTTTTTACACCTACTAGGTCAACAACCAAAATGGGATACCAATCCCTATCAACATGGTTTCTCGAATGTCGCCACTTAAATTAGGAAGTCTAGTATTCTTGTCAGGGTTGAACAACTTGAGTATGAGCTACACGACATTAACTTATAACATTGAGCCCCATATGGAATTACCATCGACTACCTCCAAATACTATGCCTCTTCGATGCTCGGTTAGGAACTAAGTCGTTGACCTCATACTTTACTTAGTTGGTCACTTTATACATTCGTGCCTCAACCTTGCCCACATACGGATCCACAATGGTCACTTGTAATCAGTATAGCTCGACCTGGTTCTTATACTATGGCCACTTATAGTCGGTATGCTTTGATCTTGTTCACATACCACATCAACTAAGGTCCTAGAAGAGATTCAACAATCCACTTCAAGAGATAACACCTACTCAAGGAGGGTTTTGTGGAGAAAAGAGAGACACTAGAGGGGGTTGAATAATGTTACTAAAAAACTCACACTTTTTGTGAAATAATGAAGTAATAATGTTGTAGTAAGGAATGCAGATGAAAAGGTAATTGGAAAGAACATAAAGTATTTTTATACTTGTTTGTGTCAATCATTGAGACTACATCTAGTTCTTGATCCAATCAGATTAAGTTCCATTATCTTTTCCAAGATACAATTATTCTTTACAAAGTCACTTCTAGCTCAACCTAAGTGTTATTTGACTTGTCTCTTCAAGCAACTACCTAAGTATTATTTTTAACGAAGCCTCTCTAGGCATTAACTCCAAGCATTCTTTTATAGACGAGGCTCTCCAAACTCAGACCCAATAACTTAAAGATACAAAGGTTTACAAAGTTGTTTTGTCTTCCTTCCAAGGCTTGATACAACAAGTTAAGTACAAATACTTTTTATAGAAAGAAATAAAATAACTTATACAATCAATGAACTCTCTCTTCTTTTTGTATTTTAAACTTCCTTTTACAAGGCTTCAGTAAAGATAACCACTACAAATCTTTGAGCTTCTCTCATGGCTTGCTTCGTTTGTCTTTTTATTTTGCTTCTTCCAGAGCGAAGTGTCTGTTGGCATAATAAATGCTTTCATTAAATGATTTCACCAAATTTCTACTTCTTATCTGATCAAAGCAGTTACTTATTACCTTTCAGGCACCAAGTAGGTAGAACCAAACATGTGTCAGATTAGCGTAGTGTTGAAACAACTTTAACTAC